AAAGGAAAACGTGACATCGTCCTCCTGATATCCTCACTGATTCCATAATTATTCTGACGCTAGTTAACCGATGATTTCTCGCTCTACATACGTCAATTTCTCAATTGGAAAACCGCGATAAAAAATAAAACAAAAAGATACAAAACGAACAAAAAATCAGATGACGAAGCGAAGCATCACACGAAACGAAGGACCCGCATGGTGTTGTGGTGAACGTGTTACTCCCCGGAAACGATAATAGCGCGTTCGTTCCCCACCGCAGAGACCTGTGGTTCGGAGTTTTGCAAATATCTCACCATCACTGTGGTTGAATTTCGCATCATACCCTGCCGTGAAAAATTATAGTAGGCAGCAAACAAAAAGCTAACATTAGTCAACGAGAACCACTATGCACTGCATAGTGGCGCCATGGTTGTCCAGGGTTTCCATGACTACTACTATTCTGAGTAAAAGCTTTCTTTAAACTGACGAAAATAAAACGCAGCGCTCCCTCTTAGACTCGTAATACCTAAATGAGTCCTGTTATTGCATGGATGTGGTCCACCGTATTGAACCCCTTTCGATACCCTGCCTCCTCACTTGGCTGTGCTACTACCAAGTGTTCTGTCAATCCCGTTTAGCATGCCACGAGTGATAAGTTTGTAGGTGGCAATGTTAACTTTTTATTCACTGCCTGTTATAATTTTTCATAGAAGGGTATTATGTCTGATACAATCACAATGATGCTGAGATATTCACAAAGGCCCGGACCACAGGTGTCTACGGTGAGGAACGAAAGCGCTATTACCCTTTTAGTGGGCTAGCGCACTCACCACTACACCATGCCAGTCTTTCGTTTCTCCTGTCTCTGAGCTTGTTTTATCTAACAGTGCCATTAACAATCACCCGTCAAGGGGACTGATCTGGGGAGCCCAAACTGCGTTCGTTGCTGATTTGGAGATTGAAGTTTGTAGAAGAAAGCGGGCAAGCAGATTGGGGGATAGTTGCCAATATCGTAGAGTTCATCCTTCTTAAACAATAACATGGTCTTGCTGGTCTTCCACCGGATGGGGACCTTACATTCGGACATGTAACGTGTGAAGAGCCTAGCCAGTGTGTGTACAAGGACTGGCGGTAAGCTATTTAGGTGTTCAGATTTTATCCTTTCTTGACCTGATGTTGCTCGATTTTTTCGACAGAATAAAGGAGAATAGGTGGGACAGTGCATCCATCCTTTTCTATTTCATATGAGGACATGAGGATGTGGCTTTGAAAAGGTCTGATTTGTATTCGGGAATGATTTTCACCATTGCTTTCATTACGCTGTAGTCGTTCACTCTGGGCGTCGGAGCTAAATCATCTTGGTTTTGCGATTGGCAAAACTTCGATGAGCCCTCCGAATGTTTTTCCTTCCCTCTGCAGCTTCGACCATAACTGCCACACCTTTCCCTTTAAGACCTTATTTTATCGCCCGCCTTCTTTGTTTTGCAAGTTCGGACGTGAGTTGGCGGTTGCCTGAGGCTCGTGTGATTCCATGCTGGCGTATAAGCTCGAGTGTTTCTGGAGACAGACGTCTCTTGGTGACTTTAGAAGTCTCAGCTTTCATAGCGCTAACGTGAATGTTGAATGAGCTAGTCGTATTCTTCAACGATATTATCAAGAGCTGCATTTTGCCAATAGCCGACTAATGGATTGAATAAATCTCAATTTATGGTGGTTTTCAGAACTCGTTTTTTGAATTTAGGGACTTATTCTTCTTTCCGGGCGAAATGAAAACTTGCACGAAGGAAGGGATAGTGCGATCTCATGCGGAATTTTGGGACAACAGCGACATCTGTTAGAAACCTTCGATTTACTATGCTGTGGCCTATTTCGCTATGTTGTTTCTACACTGGGAGAATTCCATTTACAGTGTTGGGAGTGAAGCTTCTGGAATTGCGAATAACCATGAATAATCCTACTCGTCATGATAAACACAGACCGCAACTCAATCTGCTCGTTCCATTCTAATCCATGACGCTCTTCCGTAAAATCATAAATGATGACCTTAAATAATGTGTAGTCTTTTCTTTAGAACTTTTCCAAGTTCATATAGAGCTCTTCGGCTTCGTCTTCGTCGCAGCTTGATGTCAGTGCGCAAACGGCAAAAATTGTCGAAGCCGGTATTGATCGACATCTCTTCAATCGTACAAGTCCAATTCGGGTTATTAGCAGTTCGAATACACGGATGTTCTTGGCCAACCTCATGTTGACAAGAACGCCGACTCCTCTACTGCCGCACGTTCCCATAAACAGTCCTTCTCCACTGTAATAGTCGGCGTTAAATAGGTGGCGTTTCCTCGTCTTAGCCAGTCCTATGAAGTCGTAGCATTTCCTTCTTGTCTGCACGACCAAGTTTTCTGTGGAGGATTTAGATGAAAGTGTGAGCGCGTTGTAGGTACAAATCGTCACCACAGTCCTTTGCGATTTAGACAGCCTAGAATGGCGCAGAGACTTTAACAGCCTCTTTGTACTCGCTTTAGCCAGTGCTACTATATTGCTGGAAACCGTTCAGCGTCAGGAGAATGAGGCCTGTTTACTTAACTGTGTTTAGTTCTTGATCTCCACGTATAGCTTGCTGAGCTCTGAACGTGGGGCTGGCTATGCTCACAGATAGGTTGCCATTCTCTCACAGAGTAGAAGAGGAGCTTATTTGTTGGAGGCGCTCGTAACCGCCTCCCATATACTTTCCTGTCACGTGATTACAGGTTTTGACAAAATTGACTTATAGAATACAATCCGCATAGACGAGAACACACCCACGCACGCATGAATGAGTACGTTTTCGTGAATGCAGGAGGTATGTGCCAAATCGGAGCAGCTGAAACAGCGACCCAATCTCTGGATCCACGTGCGTCTCAGGGAAGCAAATGTCGCCTTTGTTCCGCTATTAAGCCACGTTGCCTCGTGACTAACCGGCATAGGATCCCTCTATAGTGGAAATACGTGGACACTGCGGATATTCGACTCGAATCATTCTTGCTTTTTGGAAGGCGAATACGCCGAAACATTAGGCAAAACAAATATTTCATATGTACTTTGTGCAGACTCATAAATAGAATAAGAATATTGGTTAGTCATGCCAAAGTTAAATGGGATTTCGTAGTTAAATACATTGCTAGTTATCTTGTTCAAATGCTAACTACAAAGGGAGGGTGACGGGACTTAGAGCACGCGAAATGACGTCACATGCCTCCTTAAAGTAGATGAGAACATAGAACCTTTAGACACATGCATGTAAAAACAAGAGGAAAACAGTTATGGTAGCAATTCGCAAGACCGACTTTCAGTTAACCTCGGCATTGATTGATAATTCGATGTTTTTCTTGAACAAGCAGGCACGACGTTGTTATTATAGGATTTATTAGGATACAATAGCTGACGTTTCGGCGGTTTCACCTCCTTCAGAGTCGTTTATTTGTTGTAAGTATTTAAGTTAGTTCATGGATAGCAGCCGCATAGAGTAATACATGGCCAAGGACTGTCACTTAAACTTAAATACTTACAACAAATGAAAGGCTCTGAAGAAGGCGAAACCGTCGAAACGTCAGCTATTGTATCCTAATAAATCCTATAATAACAACCTCATGTCTGCTTATTGAAGAAAAATGTCGAGTTATGGTAGCATATACACACCTAAAGTAATTTTAAAAAGTCAGATTAAAATGGTTTACAATGCATAGTAAACTTTTAGCAAGTACAAATTTAAACAATAAAACAAATAGTAAGTGAGAATAAAGCAACCCACTTCTATAGACGTATCGCATCTACTTTCTATAAGTGTGTTAACCCCTCAAGCCCGCCAAATCTTTAGTCAACGAAACGAGTGTTGCGAATTGTAGAAAAAACAACATTGCTTACTACGTGAGGGATAGGAAAGCTGCAGAGTCCATTTTGTGAGGTAAACCATGTTCAATTTTCAATCATCGACCAATTGCTATTCCACTTGGGATTAATACGATGACTGAAAGCTCATGGAATCTGTAAATCTCCTATCAATAAAGAAATTGTGAAATAAACTCGACTTCACAAAGCGAAAAAGACACCCACGTTCCGACTATAATGCGGTTGTACAATTAACAACTGTAGCGCAGTGTAGTACAGAGTGTATAACGCATATTTTTATGAGATGTAGCAAGCCCACTTCAAAGCAATAAGAACGTTAATACTAAGGCCCGTAGAGTCTCTTAATTTCCCGGAATGCTATGGCGGAGCACCGAGAAGTCATTTTGATGACAGGTAACGGATTGGTATCGCGACGAGGTGCGGATGAGCCCCAGCTGTTTTGTGCAGCTGAGGAAAAAGTCGATCGTTTTCGATTCGGGATAACTCGCTAAACAGGGCAGTGGACTATGGGCTGAGGTATGTAGATGTTTCGATTCGGCAGCGCTATGGATAGTCGTATGCGTTTTACGATCTTCACTAGCCACACTACTTTCACTGACCTCCTCGATATAGCATGCAAGTTCCAGCACGTATTGCGAACTGAAGATTTTATCTCTGTTATTTGTTGTAACTCAGAACAGATTTTTGTTGTAATGTAGTTCTCAGCAAAAGTAATGATAGTGAGACGAGATGAACTGTCGAACGCAGTTCAATACGACTAAATTGCTTTCATGAGATGATAATAGGTGGAAGTTACATGCAATTTAAACCAAAATGTTATTGACAAAAACTTTGATTATTAAGTGCTACCACTTCTCTATACAATCCCTTTCCCTACATTATTGTCTGAAGGAATTCAGCCTTCTTCTTTGTGCTGAGTTAGGATGAGGTAAGGGGAGAAGCTAGAAGATCCTCCGAAATTGCACACTATATCCCTCAGTTCCTCACTCAAGTTTCACTTCAAGGAACGTTCAGTGTTAAGATTGTACCCAATCTTTACCTACAAATCTACCTCAACGAAGAATTTTCGTCCTCCAACCATCATCAAATGTCGCCATACTCTAATAGTACTGAGGGCGTTCGAGTTAGCGGAGAAGATGGTAAACAGGAATTCGTCTGAAAACAGAATGAAGAGCACATACATCGTACGGTAAGTGTTTTCGCTGTGCAATTCAGCTAATTCGATCATTTCAATGAAGTGATTGAATCAAGTTGTTCATGGGCGGTTTTTCTACTTTATAATAACATAAACACAAAGTTCACAGTATGACTAACACTGCTTTCGTTTATACTCTATACTCAAAGTCCTTCATCAGGAGAATCAAGCTGTGCTGTTATCTGATGCCATTCGTTCGTAAAAGGCCACTTACCCGAAATTTTACTCATGACCATCGTGCACTTTATTTTTTATCGATAGATCAATGAACAAACCAATCTGTTACCGAAGAACAATGTCCTGTTCGATGTTTTTCTTCAATAAGTAGACACGAGGTTGTTATTATAGAATTCATTAGAATACAATAGCTGATGTTTCGACGGTTTCGCCTTCTTCATAGCCCGGAAAGGTCAAATTGAGATGCTGAGATCTACTCAGCCAAACACTTTCACAACTCCAGCAGATAAAACTTAACAAACAAATTTGTAATCGCATAAGAAACAGCTTCGTTTAAACACCTGCTGTTTATTTGTTGTAAGTATTTAAGTTAGTTGATGGATAACCGCCTCACAGAATAATACATGGGCGATAATTGTGTTTGTGTCAGGTCATTGGATTAGCCTGAGGGGTGGCGCCAGGTCGCGCGTGATGACAACACACTCCTCCTTGAGGTTCATTTGTGAATTTTTTTAATTGATCCAAAACGCTTCAAGAGTTTTACGCGCTGATGTTTTCGATTCATGCGTGAGGATAGTGACTCCTACCTCAAAATCTTCTCCGTTGTGTTCCTGCATCCTATGCGCGCCTAGTGGAGTGTTTCGTTTTAATTTAGGTTTTAATTTATATTTACCGACTGAGTGTTCTTTTATGCGGACCCAGAGCGGTCTACCCGTTTCGCCAACGTATTCGTCCCCCCACGCTTTGCAAAAGATCAGATAGACTGTACCCGAATTCATGCAATCACCGTCTCTACCTTTAGGGAAAATTATGCAGTTTTTTGTGTACATAGACGGTCATATAGGCGGTTGCGAACTAGCTGGCGCTTAAGATTACTCGGTGGTATTTCAACTACGCCTACCGAATTGTTTAGACCCGCCCTACTTAAGCAGCGTTTTATAGCTGCACTTACGTTATTTGAGATGAAGCGTAGGATAAACGGGACCTTTCTATTGCTAGAGTTGTCATTTGGGGGCCTTGGATTTTTAATACAAACTCCTCACCTCTATCACTAACTGATAGCCTAGTAGTCTTTGATTTTATTAGCTCTCGAAACTGTCGCATACTAGATTTTTGCGCAGCTGCAAGGTTCGAACTAAACTTTTTCGCGCGATAGTATAGTTTGTAGTAATTCTTCGCCAGTTAAATGTCGATATAAGAGAAGGACATCTTGAAAACTCATCTCTTTAACGCGCATCTCCTGAAAAAGAATTCAGAAGTTAAAATCGAAAACTGAACAACGAATGGGTCAAAATGGCAAGAGCAGCAGGTTTAAAACCAGCAGGCATTTCGAATCTTAAGATCGAAGTGCCGATATGTCCCGTCTTATACTTACTTATCAAGACTGATAAGTTAATATTTACTGGTGATCTCGCGTCTACCGACCCCTCCACCTTTAAAGTTAGACCCATAATCAGTTGTGTAGACGGGCTTGCCGATAGAATTGATTGGTTTATAAATCTAATCCTCAACCAGTTACTTAAGCACATACGATCCCATCTCATGAACACCGAAATGTTCCTAGACCGTCTGCGCAACGCACGTTCCAAAAGCGCGTACGTTATGGAGACGTTCGACGTTACCACCCTTTACACTAACGTGTCGAACAACTCCGCAATGCATGTCATCCGAGAGCTTCTTGAGCAACACGAAGGAGCAATTAACACGTATGGCCTTTCGATTCAGTAAATTATGGTCCTCCTAAACTCTCGAAGCGTTTTGGATCAATTCCAAAAATCCACAAATGAACCGCAAGGAGGAGTGTCTTGTCATCACGGCTATAATCAGCTGTTCTCAACTTCCTCATTAGAAGTCACGTAAAAAAGTGATAATAACACCGCGTTTGCTCAACAAAAATACGAAAAAAAACTGATGAGTTTCTCAAGAAGCTGCTGATCATATATTTATTTATGTGATCTTATAAACTGATCTTCTTAAGCTGACGCGAGGTTGGTACAGATCTTCGTTGTCGTTGTCGTTGTCGTTGTTTTTGATGTTATTGAACGATGGCTGACGTTTCGGCGACTTCGCCTTCCTCAGAGCCTGGACGTACTTTATGTTAGAATACTTTTTATTATTCGGTGGAAAAGAAGGTTAAAGTATTAATGAAGATCAAACTTTCAAATAGACGCCATATTGAACAGAAAGGTCACTCACCGTGATGTTATGTGCGGGACTGTCCCACACGTAGTTCACGCGAGCAAGACACACCCCGGGGTCAAAATATCATTTTGAAATAGGGCGCCAGGTCACGCGTGATAGTGAGGCATTCGTCTTTCCGGTTCATCTTTGGTTTTTTGAAATTTATCCAAAACGCCTCAAGAGTTTTGCGCGTTGATGTTTTTGATTCCTGCGCTAGGATCCGCACATTCACTTCAAAATCATCGCCGTTGTGCTTTTGTGCCCTATGCGTACCTAGAGGGGTGTTTAAACGGATTTTAGCTTTCCCATCTAAATGTTCTTTTATGCGGACACAAAGTGGTCTACCCGTTTCCCCGATATATTCCTCGCCGCATGCATTACATGAGATCAAGTATATTATACCTAGTATATTATACAGACGATGAAGCAGTCGTCTATGTATCGACAGTAGAGTAAGGGTCGGTGATCGAGAACTGGAGCTTCCACCTTAGACATGAAAGCGATGGCAAGGCTTGGTGCTAAACGCTGCCCCATCGCCAACCCTCTAATTTGTGCAAAATATTTTCCAGACCACCTAAAGATTGAATAACTAAGACACTGTTTTAAGAGGGTCATTAGTTGCGCAATCGACAAGCCGTGCATTTTTATTTTCTTTTTATGCTCTACGAGCAACTCGAGAATGGCTTGCATTGCGGAGTCATTGGACACGTTGGTATAAAGTGAACTAACATCGAATGACTCCATTATATGCGTGCTGTTTGGTTTCGCGCGCCTTAGGTGATCTAGAAATATTTTGGTGTTAGGTAGATGGGTTTATTTTTTTAGTAGTTTTTATATATATACAGTTTATAAGATCACATAAATGAATATATCAACTATCTATGCCGAGGTTCATAGAAAGCCGGTCTTTCGAGTTATTGCTGATCATATAATTACTACAGAGTTCTTCGTCTTTTTGTAAGTGTTATTGAAGCGTTTGGCCTAGTAGATTGTATATCAGTATACCCTTCCAGGCTCTGAAGAAGGCGACACTGCCGAAACGTCAGCTAGTGTCGTACTGTACTGTGTTTTTCTATGGAAGTAAATGTATGCTGTTTAAAAACCTCGCGATTGCTGAACAAGAAAACGACGCATTGTTATTTCTCGTTTTATCTGCTAGGGTTATGAAAGTATTTGGCTGAGTAGATGACATCTCAATTTGACCTTTCCAGGCTCTGAAGAAGGCGAAACCGTCGAAACATCAGCTATTGTATTCTAATAAATTCTATAATAACAACCTCGTGTCTACTTATTGAAGAAAAACATCGAATTATCAATCAATGCCGAGGTTAACAGAAAGTCGATCTTGGGAATGTTCTGTTCGTCAGTCGTCTTCCGCATTTCATTACTCTCCATGCCAATCCATCATATACTTTATTCTTTAATGTTTAAAAGTGTGATTATTCAGAGACATGGGTGAATGTTTGTTTAACATCCGACAAAGGATTCTACTTTGAGATGAAACTCGGATGAACTTCAGCATCGACAATCGTGACCGAACATACTTCTTTAAAAGTGCCAAAAAACGACAGTCACCAGGAAGATAGTGCAAATTACTTAGATACATGTTAGAACCATATCTATTAAAGCATGCGTCTTGAAAGTGAAACCACCAGAGCTGTTGAAGTTGGTAGACACACCACAGAGGTCCCGAAACGATTGCTTCTTTTTGTAATGTTCCTTTTCAAACCGTTCTCATTCGTTTTTATTAGGAAGTGCGTGTGGTGTAGTTGTTGTTTTGAAGGTCCTGTTGGTCCTCGCAATACTCTTACTTTTTTTTCATTTGTTATCGTATTTCACACTGGTTTTGCTTACCTTTTTTTCTAGATTCCTCACTTGCCTTTTTCTTAAGTTACATCCACTCGTTGTACCGTTCCACTTGCATAATTGTGCCTTAATTTGCATTGTTTTTTCAGCTGTTTCTTTTGTTGCGTCGGATGAATTCATAGAGACTTAAGGGTACCAGCAAAGAACTGCTCATTCTTCAATGGGTGGCAAGCCTAGAAACCACCATCAGCAAGAGGACGGCTCATGTAGGTTCCTCACTTTTCGTTTCAAAATTTTAGTGTTGATAAAAGCTTTCAATTTTGCTTTGTTCTGCTGATTTTTAGTTCCGTTTCGCTTAAGGTCTTTGCAAACCGATATAATCACTCATTTTAATCCTCAGATCGTTATGAGATAGTCTAGGGAACTTAGTTGGATGGCCCGTCATTACTGACTGTGCAGGGCCTATCACAATCCCCATTCGTATTTCTCGGAGATTTGTTGGTTTATCCATTGTGGCTCTATGGTGTCCCGAGGACAGCCTGGCCAAAGTCTGCCCCTGGTCGTCACCACCGCAGGCAGTCGCTGCCCTTGTGGACTACAGGGAAATTTGCCACCATGCGACTAGTTTCATACCAGGTCGGCGGCGGTTCCTAGCATTGGTTTACTCTTAGCTAGGCTTCCTGGTGGAAACGTCGAACTCCTTTTTTGCTTGGGAGACCCTGCTAGGAGGATGCACACGCCATTGTACTTCGCAGCCCGACACCCAGGTGCACCTCTCAGCCACAATGAAGCAGTAAACCGATGAGAGATGTAGAGAACAATGGAGTAGA